GCTTTGTATTTCTGTATTTTTTTTTGGGGGGGGGGGCCTGCAGACCTGCAGACGAGACGAGAGTTTGTCAATATTTTTTTGATGGCGTGCATAGACTTTTAATTGAATTTTGTTGTTCTTTTGATGGAGACTTGCGTTAGAAGGGGGTTAGCCCCCTTTGGGCGTGGCCTGCCACAATTTGGAATTCAGCAAAGAAACGAAACGAAACGAAACGAAGAAACAGATTGCAATACACGATTAAGTCTCAGACGGCATGGGTTTTTTCTTGTTGGGTGAAAACTACATTTGATACGTTCCAATTACTAAATTATGCAGTTAGGAGCTCTTTCCAGCTCTTTCCAGCTCTTTCGATGCGAAAATCATTCAGCTGGAAGACTGCACACACTCTGGGACCAGAGAAACGGAGCCACCAAGCACCCAAGATTAAAGAAATCTCTGCCGTTTCTACTCTACTCTCGGCTAACCAAACAACAACAAAGATAAAACCAAATAATGGTTAAGGTTGAGTGAATTAGGGGGATACACACTCGTGTATGTACCGAGAGACACAAAGAGAAATACAGTAAATGAAGAAAATTAAAATCTTGGCAGCGCTATAGCTAAGAAAAAGAAAATTGTCGCTAATTAGAAAAGGGAATTTTGCAATTTAAAGAAAACCCAAAATGAAGACATTTGCTGTGGCACCGAAAAAAAGCCATCTGTTGGGCATAGAGGGAATAGGGAATAATAGAATGAAAGCAAAGAAGAATGAACAAATTTTAAGCAGGAAACTTTCAACTTTAAAGTCCATCATTCATGATGCGCATCTTGGAAGTCCAGCGGAAGTCCATTTAAAGAAACAGTTCCCCTAGGAACTTCCCTTGGAGAGGCACAGAAACTTCTAAGACAATGGTCTTTCACAAAGGTTTTCAGCAAGAATACGAATTCGAATTCTCTGACAGACTGAGGAAGCTCTTTCCTTATAGAGAGTGCTGTCACCATGGATTGGATAGAGTATAGGGGAAACGGGGCGACTGGGGATTTCACCTACAACTAAAGACTAAGGCACGCTGCTATCCTAATCCTTGTTCTTCTGGGTCCGTTTCTATCATGTTTTCTTCAGGCAAAAATATTACTTAAAATCTATTATTTCTGCCTGCTCCTTGGGCCATCAGAGATTTGGAAACCAGTGGCCAAATCTTCACCCCAATATTCCACCCAGAATCAAATAAATGGCCTGAGACTTCCGAGTGAAAACGATGGCTCTATTAGCTTTTGTGGCACGTCTTTCAGCACCTGCTGCTTGAAGAAATAATCAAACAATTTGGCTAATAAAGTTATTGCTGTTCTATTTGTTTGCCTCTCCTTTGGGCTCCACTCCCATAACGTATATATCCCGCCCCTTTCGAGATTTATGCCCCTGACTTTTGGGTTAAATTGGCTCAACCATCAGTATATTTATGGAAGCTTGTCTCAGTTTTGTTATCTGTTCTGTGTATGGGCCTCATAAATCCTAATAATGGCTTTCCTTCGTTCCCAATAAAATTAGGAATCTTTTGGAATTTCCATATTCTCTTTCTCTCTCTCTCTGTGTGGCCCCAAAAACGCAATCAATGCCATCAAATGGCTCTGAACTCGTTTCAAACCATTTATTTTGTCTCTAGCTCTATTTTTGGCTTAAAACATTGAACTCAAGCATTGAACCCCCTGCTCGTTGATGGCCAAAAATGTAAAACTTGCACAAAAACAGACGACATTTAAGGCAACCTGTTGCTCTGGTTCGAAATCAACTCGACTCGAAGTTGTAGCTGTTGATATTTTATAGTTTTCTTGCCTCCAAATTAATCTCAATCAATCAATGAGAATTTGATGAACCGTTTGAGACTGGACTGGTGGCGGATTTGAGGTCTTGCCATTGACATTTCGAGTGCGCAAAGAGAATCATCTTTCAATTGACGTCAGCCAAATGGCGTACTCTCCAGAGCATGTCTATATATAGATTTGATGGGACTGCAGGGGGCGTTGATGCCGCCCCCCAAAGGGCAAATAAATTTGCAAATGGAGAGGGATCTTCGCTTTACTTTTGGGAGCACTCATAAATCTATTCAAGTCGCCCAATTTAATACTGATTTACGAGTACGCCTAATTAGAAGTGGTAGTGGAAGTCTGTGAGCCAATATTGATTTTGGACGCTAAGCCGCTCTCGTGTGTGCATTCGGTTGGGCCAATCAGTGGCCGCAGCATCCAGTGGCAGCCACTTCAAACAATGAAACTAATTAAGCTGCTCTTGGCGGAGGTGCCTCACGCAACAGACCAGCCCAGCCCAGCCCAGCCCAGACCAGCCATCATCATTATCATCATCGTCACCGAATATCGCCGAAAATTTGATAAGTTTCCTCCCACAATGCATTCACGGCCTCTTCCTTGGGCCTTCCATTGTGTTTACGCTGCGTATACGCAATCCGATTTGCTTTTGCCTGAGTTTTGGCCATAGAACAGTCGTCCGGAAATGGCAATGTCATGGGCATCGGCATCGGCATCCTTCAGGGGCCAGCCAGGCGATGTTTGAGGCTGTGAAACTTCAAACTGGCTTGAATTGGTAATTGTGTGCAGATTTTCATGAAATTGACTGCAAATCGAAGGGAGAAGCATGTGAAATTGATCGCTTAAGAGGCAATGAATGCCTCATTCTGAAGGAAGGCTTCATGAGGCTAATCATTGTCCAAGACTAATCGAGTTTAAATGGAAACTTTCAACAACAGGACTACACAGAGAAATTGAGTAACAAAGAAAACAATAAATCAACACAAAAGTTTTATGAAATTGAAATCAAATTTCATTGAATTGAAAAATTGTATTCGCTAATTATATTTTCTATTGTAGTAGCAGCGAGTAGCGAGTTTCAGTAGAAAGTAGTAACGAGTAGCGAGTGACTAGCAACGAGTAACTAGTAACGAGTAGCGAGTAACGAGTAGCGAGTATATTTTTAGCTGCAATTTCATAGCAACCCATAGTAACCACAGCGTTCTGTACTCTATTCTTCCAACATTCCGAAGTGAACATGTGAGTAGTAGCTATAGCAAGCAGTACCGAGTAGTAGCAAGTAACGAGTAGTGAATATCTCACAGCTGGGATCTCATAGCGACCCACAGTAACCATAGCATTCCGATCTCCATTCTCCTAACATCCAAATAGTCCAATGAACTAGACTCTTGTCAAACTACTTTATTACGCCACACTAGGAAAGGCTTCCAGGCTTCCTTTCGAACCCTCCAACAACACAGAATCCAACTCAATCAATAAAAATAAAACCCAACAGGCATCTGCTGCCCCAGAGGAAGAGGGGGGGAATTCCTTCAGCCTAATTTGAAGGCACTTTGCCACGGTTGACTGACCGACTGCCGACTACTGTCCATCCGAATTGACAAATGATTATTTTCAGCTTGCTAAACACTGACCCAATTCCCGGCAGATTGCTATACGCTATACGTTATCCCAAGTTGATTATTAATTGCTCTTTTGCATTGAATCTATTTGTCATGAGTGGGAGCCGTGGGGGGGCGGGGGGGCTCTTCTAACTCTGATTTATGTGTGGCAGCAGCGTATTGAAAGCGATTTCTTTGGCTGACTTTGGCACTTTCTGTTGAATGCTGCGTATGCGTGATTTTAATTTTAAGTGAACCATTCTTTCGCCTCGCTATTGTGCTCTTTCGTGGCCTGGCCCTCTCTCTCGTTTGGCATTCCCTTTCCATTTCGTTTTTGGGGTTGGGGTTGAACGTGGCGTCGTTCGTGGGACGTGCTGCCTTTTAGCGACAATTTTAAACGCATTTTCAACACTTACCACGGTCCTTGTCCTCTTCGCTTTTTCTTTCTTTGTAAGCCCTTTTTTTTTGGAACAGATTCATTTGATATGCAAGATTCCACTTGACAGCTTTTGCCATTTAAAATATACTTCAGAGGTGATTGCATTGATCAATTATTTAGAATGTTCCCGAATATAGACTCTGTCTCTGTGTCCTTTTTCTCTGTTTCAATAGACTGGAGTCCTCCTACAAAGAAGTTGTGTGCCTGGGGAGGTGGGGGATTCAATGGTTTTGTCTCAAGGTTACATTGATGTCTGTCTGCTTGGCTGCGGGGAATTGATGTCCTTTTTTTGTGTCTGTCTCTGTGTTTCTTTTTCGATAGAACCCAGACACATTGTCATAAATTCTTTCAAGGCTGTTAGGTCAGATTTTTCCAGCGATATGTTTGCTCAAAGAGGCTACGTTATACTTTATTACTTTCAAAATTTCAATGCCAAAAAATACTCAATTTTGTGGAAAGCAATGCCAATCCATGGAATCATCGACTCAGTTCAAAAAGAGCTTTCCAAAGGCCCTGGTTCCCGCTTCTTTATGAGTATTTATCGACACTTACGAGCCAAGAAACAATAAAGACACTGAACAGACAGATTTGTGGATCCACAAATGGACTTGGCCAGGCCGAAAATCGTTTGGTTAACCACAAGAGTCCTGGCAGTCGCCCTTTAAAGATTCTGGTGTGCCTGTGCCCTAAAAGGTTTTCCGTGTTATTTACAAGTACAAAACCCTCGGATGAATCTCGGACATTGTTGAAACTGGGTCGTGGTCGGTGCCGGGGCCGGGGCCGGGGGTTCCTGGTAACATTTGCAATTTATAGATTAATAATCTTAAAGCCAGCACGAAAGCAGTTGGAAATGGTTTCGTTTTAGTTGCTGGTCGGGTTCTGTGCCATCCTGTTTCTGTTATTTTGTGTTGTATTGTGCCTGCGGGAGAACTTTGGCAAAAACTTGGCCATAAACCTGCACGAAACCCCCAACCCAAGCGATTTTATCCCTTACCCGACCATATCCACCATGTCCCGAGCACAATTGCTCTCAGCTGAGTTGAGTTATTGCCCCGAACGGGGCGTCAACGCGCTCCGGACGTCGCCAATGTGGCGCAGATTAAAGAAATAAATTAAAACACTTGTCTCCCTTTTCTCGGGGCTTCGTGTGCTTTTAGGTGGAAAATCGTGCACTGCGGCTACGTGAGGTGGCAACGGCCATGCAGCAGCAGTTCCAGGACGACTCCTCGTCGGTGGCGGCAGCAGCGGCGGCGGCGGCGGCAGGAGCATCCACAGTCCGGCTCTGGGCACCGGCCGGAGGCGGGGTGGGAGTGGGAGGTATCGGTGGCAGTGGGGCCGATGATCCCGGCGGCAATGTCATTCTAATCGGTTCGGTTAAGGACTTTGAGCGCAATGCGGTCCATGGCCTGAAATTGAATGGAATTGTGGCGCTGGAAGAGACGTCGCAGGTGAGGATTTTGCACACAGCCTGTGGTTTCAGGCCCCTGATTACCATCCCTCGAGTCTTTCTATAGCCTGGAATTTCCCAATTATCTTTTCATAGGCTCACAGCGGTGGCATGGGTGGCCGGCTGCCAATGGCCCCCAGCGGCCGCGCAGGCACTACCGAGGTGGAGTACTTCGACGAGGCGGGCTACATCAGAGCGGGGGCACTGCGCAACGGGGAAGATCCCTACATTAGGAATCGTTTCAATCAAGAGGCCAGCGATGCACTGCCCAGTAATCGAGAGATACCCGACACGAGGAATCCCATGTAAGAAGGAGATTTCGAGAGATTAGAAACGAATTAATTCATGGGGAATACTTTAACCGACTTTTACCAGGTGTCGCACTAAGAAGTACCGCGAGGATCTGCCCGAGACCAGTGTCATCATCACCTTCCACAACGAGGCCAGGTCCACGCTATTGAGAACCATTGTCAGTGTTCTCAATCGCAGTCCCGAGCACCTGATACGAGAAATCGTGCTGGTAGATGACTTCAGTGATCATCGTAAGTAGATATAACCACTGGTAGATGTCCTTCAGGAGACTCATTTCGTTCCACCCTCAGCCGAAGACGGCCTGGAGTTGGCCAAAATCGACAAGGTCCGCATCATACGGAACGACAAGCGTGAAGGCCTGGTCCGGTCCCGGGTTAAGGGCGCCGATGCCGCCGTCAGCAGTGTCCTCACCTTCCTCGACAGCCACGTGGAGTGCAATGAGAAGTGGCTGGAGCCGCTGCTCGAGCGGGTTCGGGAGGATCCATCGCGGGTGGTTTGTCCCGTCATCGATGTGATCAGCATGGACAACTTCCAGTACATCGGTGCCTCGGCCGATTTGCGCGGCGGCTTCGACTGGAATCTGATCTTCAAGTGGGAGTACCTCAGTCCAGCCGAGCGTTCGGTCCGCCACAACGATCCCACCACGGCCATCAGGACCCCGATGATAGCGGGGGGACTGTTCGTCATCGACAAGGCGTACTTCAATAAGCTGGGCAAATACGACATGAAAATGGATGTGTGGGGAGGTGAGAACTTGGAAATCTCGTTCCGTGTCTGGCAGTGCGGCGGCAGTTTGGAAATCATCCCCTGCAGTCGGGTGGGTCACGTCTTCCGTAAACGGCATCCCTACACCTTCCCGGGGGGCAGCGGCAATGTGTTTGCCCGGAATACGCGACGTGCCGCGGAGGTCTGGATGGATGACTACAAACAGCATTACTACAATGCCGTGCCCCTGGCCAAAAACATTCCATTCGGCAAGTAAGTACAGCCCGGAACACCAGGGGAATGCCAGGAGGGGGGAGAACATAAACAGCAGCTAACTTATTTATTTCGAATTGTTTTCCCCTCCTCTCTCTCTCTGCTCTCCGCCACCCTGTGTCTGCTGCAGCATTGACGACCGTCTGGCTTTGAAGGAGAAATTGCATTGTAAGCCATTCAAATGGTATCTGGAGAATGTGTATCCCGACCTGCAGGCCCCCGACCCACAGGAGGTTGGCCAATTCCGACAGGATAGCACCGAATGCTTGGATACAATGGGCCACCTAATCGATGGCACTGTGGGTGAGTAATACCTTGTGATTGGTAGTCACGGCTATCTATCAGCCTTGGGATATCGTTAGGAGGCTAAAAAGAGTGCGCTGCGGAAACCTGAAGGTGCACTTTCCCTTGAAATTGTCCTACAAGCAGTCTACTGACAAAACCTGAAGCTCTGGTTCTTTTTGCTTCGACAATGATCAAGCGGTGCACCGCTTAAACCTGAAGGTTTGGTTCAATTTCCTTCCAAGGGAAAGCAGTGCGCTGCTGAAACCTGAAGGTTTGGTTCAAGTAGTAAACTTCTAAAACCTGAAGGCTTGGTTCATTTTCCCGACGCACCGAAGGGATCAAGCAGTACACAGGTGAAACCTGAAAGTTTGTTTGGTTTCCTTCAAAAGGAGGTGATCAAGCAGTACACCACAGAAACCTGAAGGTTTGGTTCAAGCAGTAAAATACAAAAACCTGACGGTTTGGTACATTTCCCCTTCACAAGGAAGTGATCCAGCAGTGCGCTGCTGAAACCTGAAATTTTGGTTCGTTTCCCTTCACACAGAAACCTGAAGGCTAAAATAAACCGCTAAAAACCTAAAGGTTTGGTTCATTTTCCCTTGAAGTTGTCCTTCAAGCAGTTCGTTTATTGACTAAACCTCCAGCTTTGGCTCGCAATGGCATTTGTCTGCCTATAAGTACGTATGTATAAGTTCTTCAACCACTTTTTTGCACCAGGAATCTTCCCCTGCCACAACACGGGCGGCAACCAGGAATGGGCATACTCGAAGCGCGGCGAAATCAAGCACGACGATCTCTGCCTGACACTCGTGCAGTTCGCCCGCGGCTCCCAGGTGGTGCTGAAGGCCTGCGATGAGTCGGAGAATCAGCGCTGGATCATGCGGGAGGGCGGCCTGGTGCGACACCACAAGATCAACGTGTGCCTGGACTCGCGGGATCAGACGGCACAGGGCGTGAGTGCGCAGCACTGCAACTCCGCCCTCGCCACGCAGCGCTGGTCGTTCGGCAAGTACGCGTGAGAGAGACGCCTGACGGACTAGGCTGGATAAGGAGACAGATAGAGCAGGACACAGTGATATTTGTGCAAGTGGACGGAACGAGGAGGAGGAGGAGGAGGAGGAGGAAGCCTAACCTAACTCTATGTGGATTGCATGTGGATTGTATGTGTACTGTATGTATTCGTAATGTTTTACCTTACCAATGTTGATTTGTTGCTGAACATAAAACACACTCTCACACACCCGATTATATTACCATATATAGTGCATACTTGTAAACGATAAGTTCAACTTTAGTTAAAGAGGGTTCACGAATCGTTCAGACACCATTTCCTCTGGGGGTTAAACTTACATCAAACGAAAATATGAAATGCATACAAAAAATGTACTTAGACTGATTAATTTTTTGTATATGTATACAAAATATATATAAAACAAAGAAAATGGGAAATAATACTACCCATAAAAGCGTAAAACTTTGGCAGCTGCTTGACAAAAACAAAAGAAAGAAGCATAAGCTATAAATTAATTTTTGCATTCCAACGGCACACATTCATTCGAGTCAATTAAGGATATAAATTTGTCACAAATCAAACAGAAAAATAGCCTAGCATACGATTCAGATATTCACACACACACACACATGCTCAGAGTCTTCTCAACTTTGTACTTAACACAAACAAAAAGCAAAAACAAACAAACATGAAATGTTATCATTAGTTTTAGTTGTACTTCTAAGTGGAAAAAAATCATTTGAAATCATTGAAACCTATGTGAAATATGTATGTATATATAATGAAAAGGAAAATATTATTTAAATGTTTATCAAACGCCAAATAAATTGAACATTTTTCGATTCTATATTGTACGCAAATCGAAAAGAATTGAATTGAATGTCACTTTGTTATTATTTCAAATGCATAACTAATTTCCAGTAATCAAAGGAAAACATATGTACACGACATCAACTAAATTTGTATGTGAAAAAGTATATATTTTTTGTATTATTTTCACACAGTTTTTAGGTTCATTTGTATGACAGGAAAAGCGTGAATGATTTAAGGAAAAAAACAAGAAGAAAAACAAAACCAAATATTGTACATTTGTTTGTGGGGTGTGTACTGTGCGTATTATACCCAATAAAAAATTATAATTAAAAACATTTTTAATTTGAATCAACCAGAAAAAAAAAAAAAAACAAAAACAAGAAACGCAAAAAATTCCAAATAAAAAGAAAATGTGCAAATGGCTTTATTTCATTTTACTGGGAGTGGCCCCATGGCGTGTTCTTAATATGATTGCTGTGAGGAGGCAGGAGGTAGGAGGCACAGCTGCCATCAAATCTGGCTAAGTACTTTGACTCCTATGTAAGATACGAGTATGTAGGTTAAACGACTTAACTTTCAACTCCGAAATGCATGACATGGCAAACAAACGAAACGACTGAAGAGCCAGATGAAAACTTGGCACACTACGCATACGACACGTCTACCCCCACACGAAACGAAACCAAAGGAAAGGAAATGAAAGGAACGAAGTTTGTGTACGTTGCGCTAATTTTGTCTTGCTCGTACTTAAAAAAGGCACGAAAATGCTGGAGTGCTGGAAATGTAACACATTGTAAAACAGGCCCAAGGCAGCTTCAAAATGTTTTCCTCATTTCGGGAATTTTAGAGAGGCTCCATTTTGAGGGGGGCTCCAGCACAAGCATGGATGCGCACCATTAAGAATAACATAAAATAAAGTGTCATACTCTTCAGTTTATGCCTTAAAGAGATAGACAGCCGCCAAGACGTTGGGTGGAAGGAAAGAAGTGCGGAGAAATTTCTAATGGATTTTCTACTAGAAAGAAATACATTCTTCAAAAATTGAGCTAACAAAATGCATCATCATACATTTTTTGTGCTTGCAGTATGCAAATTCTTGGGCAACCAAAACGGTTAGGGAATGCAAAATATACATAAATATATTGGAGAATATTAAGCAGTCATGGAATATAAATCGCATGGATTTTTCATCAGCTGAATAAGCGGAAGGATACTCTCCTTCGCTGTGCGGTTTCTTTACCGCAAAAATGTGTTTGACAGATTTGCAACCCAAGAGATGCACCGAGGAAAGACAGTTAATAAGAATAAAGGGAAACTGTCCTTGATGCAAGAAAAATCTGACGGAATTTCTCTTGCACTCAGTCAAAATGTTAAGTTCAAAGAATACAGGAGCATATTCCAGGCAGATGGAGCCAACAACAGCTCGTTAACCAGGACAACCCCCCGAGCTGTACGCTTCCTTGCCCGAAGGATATCATAGAAATGCAGCGCAAAAAGTACGCACAACGACGCAGCCGGAAGACAAACCGATTTCCGTGCCAGGCTTCTGGCATCCAGAACGGAAGCTGAACTCGACACCCGGGGGCTCAGGTGCGGGTGGGGTGGGGAGGGGGTAGGTGCGGCAGATGCCTGCCTGGTAAGCGGCGGAGCCAGCAGCTAGTGCAGGCGACAAGGTTAACCCCCAACAAGTCAGGGAAATCGTTTATGCGGCTCCCTATCAGCCCACGTTCCCTTCCTCATATGTACGATACGAGTACAGCGGAAAATTGTTGAGGCGGGTCTGGCCTTTATTTGTGTGTGTGTGTCTGTGTGCTTGTGTGGGTAGACAGGTGAATAACAGTTTTTCCCTCTTTCTGCCTGCTTTCTTATTTAAGACAGCGTGTGTCAGGCATACATGAAAAGCCAACCAACAGCTCCTCTTCGCTCCGGACCTGACCTGGCCTGAACCGACTTGGCTTTGGCAAACATTTTGCAGCTTCCTTTTTGCGCCTGTATTCGCTTTCTTTTGCCCTAACCGAGCAGATGCTATCGGCATTTTTTCCGCTTCCGCAGTTTTATCACGGGGCATCAACTTTTCTCTCCCCCCTCCAGTATTTATACCCTCCCCCCAGGCAACACATGGATGGATGGTATGGTTGGGGTATATAGGACTGCTGTATGAGGGGGGGCGATTCAAAGACTGATTGACAGTTCTCTTAATTACTTTAGTAAGCGAATTTCCTGTCTTTAATTACTACACCAGTGGCTCATTTCTTTCGATAAACGATAATTTTTTTTACCTTTTATTTGTTGGACCTGTTAAAAATGCTTTTAATTAACTGTGAATAAAAAATCTAGCTCTTTAATTAGTAGTAATTTATTACTATTCCCTCTTCCCATTTAAGATGTGTCACATAGTTCCCTCCCCTACTAATTTCTTATTTATTCTGTTGGGCAGTTTTCCGAACAGTTTCCCAACCTCAGTTCCTGGTTTGTAACCAGTTTAATTACCACTTTCCTGTTAGTTCGCCTCGTGCCTCCGCAGTTCCGTTGTCTGATGGGTGCCTCCGTCAGTCGAGAGCTATCTCCTGGAGTGGCAGCCACTGCCACTTACACTTACACGCATGTCCTTCTGCCGGGCGAGAGTCTGTGTGCTCGCTTCGTAGCGTAGTCTGTCTTACGTCATTGTCGGTTTACGTGGCGTGTTAATAACACATCCTCTCGCTCTGGCTCTATCTCTCGCTGTTAATCAGTTGACATTTTGCAACACAGGTTCACAGGTTTACAAGCAACAGCTTTGGGGGTGTAGGTGCATGGATGGGTGGCATATTGGGTAGTTTGGGGGGGGTTCTCTTCATATAATTTGTTAGGTTGTTTTAGTATTATAGCTAGCTTATAATTATTAGTGTTAATCTACAATTGTATTTACTATTAACGTTGTACGAAATATCGTAAGTATCTGAATAAGTATCGATATGAATAATCATCCGATAGTTCTAGTTCTGCGAACTAGAACTATGCGAGAACTATGGAAGAAATAGAGATCGGAGCTGGGTTGAGGGCACTTTTTGGCTGATCGACAAGACGAAGAGGTTGGAGAAAATAAAGCGAAACAATAATCTTGAAAAGTATAAAACATCCGTGGATTTTCTGCGCCAATAAATTTCTTTTTTGGTTGCCCGGCAAGTTCGTGCATTAATCATTTTGTTGGGTCTTACACTGTTTACCTCATGCACATGGCCCCGGCCTAAGTAATGGCTGCCTGTCGCTGCCAGACTGTCGCCGGAAACATAATTAACAACACGTTAGAGAGCCCAGCCAAGTGGACGCTGATGATGATGACGCCGACGATGAGATGACCGAAAATATTATTTCTCGGTATGTGAGCGACACAAAGGTGCTCGAAACCCAGTGGCAAATGCTGAAAACCATAAATTTAATATTAAGGAAAAACCAATTAAATCAAAACATGATTCCTGTTGCAAAAATTACCATTAAATTGCAATAACAAATACTTTATTTATCCCCATTGTGTGCGGCAAAATCAATGATCGTTTGCCTAATCTTTCCTTTTCATATGGCGAACAAATGCAAATGACTTCTTTATTATTGCTGCCTGTTGTCTGCGCTGGTCTCTGGAGTTTATTCAAAGTTCGCACCAGCATCAAATGTTGCTCGCATAAGCGGATTACTTCACTCTGATTTCTTGACATTCGGGCATTGTAAGCATTTCATCAACCAAAATAAGAAAATTCAATGATGTTGCACCTAAAATTTACCCTCTCATACTTGATTCAGTCTTTGGCAGACTTTTAGTTGGGACAAAATTACTTTAGTAGTCTTAGAGCCTTTCAGATCTTCTGAAAATTCTTTAAAAATATTTTAGATTGGTAGGTAAAGTATATATTTCTTAAAAATTGTGGGATATACAATTATTCTCCAACTGAGGCCTCAAAAATGTTTGTGAATAATTTTTAAATATTCTTTAAATCCATACCAATCTCAAAGTTTTAAAAATTCTTTATAGTAGTCTATCTGAACCCAAAAAATAATGTACGTCCAGATGCAAGTCCTTCAGTGTCGTGTACCTTTTTTTACATGTGCTACATATTTATCATCAACAAGCATATACTCCGGATCCCCCAGGGGAGCAGGGTATTAAAGACAACCTATAAATCAGCTTAAATTTACACTTTGCACAAAAGTTTGCAAAATGTCGCGGGCCAAAAAGTTGACACAGCTGTTTGTCCTGCGATTTATCCTTCGCCTCTTTGCGAGGGGTGTGTCTCCAAATTATAGGAATGATTGAATGAATGAACGAATGAATTCGTGTGTGCAATCGATACCTAAATCGGCTTAGCTTAATGCTCTCCTTTATTTGGTTATTAAGTACTGTTGCCCTTCACCAATGAAATGATTACAATATGGTTCTCATTTTGCTTTTCGGAAAGGGAAATTCCCTTTTAGCAGACAATTTTTATCCGGGGGAAAACTCATTCTACAAAAGGGCTGCCATGGAAACAGTATTCCTCTAATCAACAGAATTCATTAATATTTAATGGGCCCCAAATGAGTGCGTGGGTTGCAAAAAAAAAATATTATTTTTCACATAATTAGGTTAAGTGAGGGGCTGGAAATTGAGCGAAATACTCGATGAGCAGCGCGAATGGATGAAGGATGTAATCCGTGAATTCCCGTGAATAGATATGCGGAAAGTTAATAGGCTGGAAGCGTTTTGGATGCTCAAAATAATAATTAACTAATGGATCGATGGAAAATTGCAGCAGTTTATGTTGGACGCAAAATCTGTGGGCTATGAATTTATGTGAAATAGTGCTGTAAGTAGCCTGTTTGTTTAGCCTGATGCTAAGCTGTACTACACAGTAAACCCCCATAGAACTGTGCATATATGTGGCATTTGGTGGGAGGCCACAGAGAGTATCAGAGTCTGCAGAGTCACAGAGACTAAGTGCAGTCCAACTTTCCCAAGTCCACTTCCCAAGTCTTCGCAAGCCATGCCTGAATATTCAAATACAAATAAGTAATAATGTGGTCCTGCCTTTAACCATTCAGTACATAGATGGGCCACTCCTTTACGGAACATGTCACAAACGAACTATCTGGATTAGATCCCAGAGTCTTTGCCTCTGGAGTTCAGCTACCGCCGCATCATCATCCAATATCCTATACGAGTATATATGTATGTTATTCCATTTCCATCGATGATTAACTATCTTTTACCAATATATCGTGTGAGGGGGAGTATCATTCTCCCTAACACTCCATTGCCCTTCAATCGATTTGCTCTGCCTCTGTCCCTAAGTTGGATGATGCTCGATGCGCCCAGAAGCAGGCAATGCTTTCTTTTCCTGCGGCTTGAGCCAAGACACACACGATGGCAGAAGCCAAAAGTTGTTTTGACAGCAAACAAATACTCGCAGCAAAGGACAAAAACAGCACAGAGCCAGTGGCAGAGCCAAAGCCAGAGCCAAGTTAGCGCCATTGTCTTGACTCATAACGAAACTTTCGCCTGGCTTTCCCACCTTTGTTTTATCTCTCTCTCAGACTTAATTGGAAAGCATGAAGACACAAACACAGAGTGAAACGTGTTGGCATTAAAACACGCACGACCAGGAATAACAAACAAACACCCGACCATGGCTGGGCTGGGCTTGGGCTGCCAAAATGTTTGTCCTTGGGCCCTCAGCTTCCGCCCAACCAAAATTCCGCTCCGTTTCACGACACGACTCGAAGGGCTGTATACATAATTTGCGAATGTTGTTCTAAGTGGCTCCTCGACAGCTATTTATGGTGGGAGTCGGGCAGATATATAGTGGCATTTAATATTTTGCCCTATTTGCCCATACATTATCTTGTCTTGGCGGAGTGCGTGTGCATAAATAATGGCAGCCATAAAAATTAGTACTGCATGTCGGATAGAATGTGAGCAACAGGAGAGCCCAAGGAAGCTTAAATCACACTTATTTTAGAGCAAATGAAAGCAAATATTGATGCAGGTTGAAAGCAAACTGAAAATTGTGCAGCCTAATTACTCGGCATTCCACATCCTTCAATTGAACCCGAAGCAATCGTTAGGCAAAGACCCGTCTCGATTGAAAATTTGCACAACTAATTAGCTGCTGGGAAGAGTAAACACTTCAGTAAATCCCCAGCCATTTCAGCAGAATCTGCAACAATTTCAAATTGTTTGATTGTATGCAAATAAACCGCCAGCCGCAATTGCGAGCCAGCAAATACAAGACGCCAGACGAGGGCAAGGAGCGCCAGCAGAGGCGACACCTGAGCCCCAATTACGAAACTAATTAATTGAAAGCAAAGAGGCGTGAACTGGCAGACAGCCCGAAAGATGGACGCTTGGATGGACACTCAAGTGCCCCATGAAGTGGCCCCATCAATCCGGGGCAATCAACATCAAAATTCAAAACCTTCACCGACCACCGAACACCGAACACTCCATCCACTCCGTCGCCAAATCAATGTCCGGCCCAGGCACATCCAAAAGTTATGGCGTGCATAAAAGTCAACGTCAATGATAAATGAAGCCCCAGCCAGCATTTGCATACGGATGCATACATAATGGCCAAGACGAAAGCTGCAGAAGAAGCTGGATCTGGCTCTCAAGACCACGGATGGTGGGGGGGATAGTACAAGTGGAGTTGAAGTACTCCAGAGGGATGATAGGAGTACTCTCCCTTTGGCTTTTCGGGTAGAGTTTTCAAAGATGCGGAAAGAAGAATACGTATTCCATTCGCAAAGCCACCGGACGAAAGGATAACAATGTCAGTGACACACGAGCAGCGAAACGAGACCAAAAAGGAAGCAACGGAAAAGGGAAATGGCAAAATAAGATGTCGCTAGGTGTCGACAATATGATGCGAATTTGATACTCTTCGAGCGAAAATTGCTTCGAAAAGGGAGCATGCCTTGTGAGTTTCTTCCCTAAGGATATGAATAAACAGTCTCACATTTTCCAATCATAGCGAACCCCGAGAAACACGTCTAGACTATAGAATTCACATTAATCTCAAAACTTATTTCCAAAGATCTGCAATCAGAATGTGTCTTTCAAGTGAGTACGATAAAATATGTACCTGGTGTTTTGCTGTATGGAACATAATCCTTGGCCTAACGTGGAGCATTCTGGGCTATCTCGCTGTAATCGGACATGAACGTGCGTACAAAAATTGCCATCTGCTGAGCAACTTATCGGTACCCCATAAATATCTTTAGATGGTCTACACTCTAGGTACTACGACATTGTAGTTTGTTTGTACACCGTTACGGTCTGTATTTGTGCGCCCCTACATTTGTTGTCGGGCATATTGATAATCGTTGGAGATTGGAAGGTCAGTCAGGCATGTATTTTCCTTGGCCGCAAACACTCAATCACTTTTACCCTGCAGGATAGCCAACAAACGTTCAAAGTAGGCAAAAATCTAAGCAATTTATTCCCATTCTTTTTGCTCGGGACTATCATTTTTCCAGGTGGGTGGATCGAGTGGTTCTACATTAATTTTGTATTTTAATTACTAATTTTTTGTGATTTCAGTTATACATTTCATTGGCCTGGGCAGGGTTTGTAGCTATTATGAAAAGCGCTGGAAGTGATTTGAATTCTGTGCATCGCTTCTGCGCTTTCAGTGTTGTGTGTTTCAGTTTCAAAGTGTTATCCAGCACTTAAATGAAAGGCCCAGTCCTGGGGGCCGTCATCATCATCAGCAGATCCATCAATGGCTACAGAGGCATCCTTTAGCTCCTTCTACACGGACCGCTTAACATTACAATTTAACCTAATACTTATACATATGTTCATAATTAATTTCTTCAACTTATTTCTTTTTATAAATCTAATCATGTCATGGATATTTTCTTGAAAGATTTGGTAATCAAAAAGCCTGCTTAATTTAATGTTCATAAAACTTCAAGGGTATGCCAAGTTCGTGGTGTTATCTTCCTTATTTAATTTCATTTCACATACCCAATTCGATGCAGCGATGCAATCAAAAATACGCTTCAGCAACTCGAATTTAATTGGCTTTCGGGTTGGATTTCAAGATGAAAGAAGCGCCTGACTTATATTGAGGGGATCCCCTCAATTTGTTAAAATCCTGACAATGCTTGACATTGAGAACTACCTTAACCACAGAAGGACCAGTGAGGGCTGGGTTTTTGGTAGTCCCTTGAAGCGCTGCTTCTGTTGACATCCAGTATTGATAGTAATAGTTGTATATTTACTTTTGCAAAGAAGGCACATTACAAGCAGCTGAAAAAACAATGCTAGCACTGACACTGCCTCCACAAGAATCGGAGACAGCGATGGATATGCCCAGAGGAGAGACAAGTGTGTCCCCACAGATGACAGGCGAGTGAACAAGCCGTGTCAGAATAGAGGAATTAGTCCCCTAATGCCAAAGAGAAATAAGAAGAGTAACGGACATATGCCAGAGCTTGTTGGACACGATGTCAGAGCTGATTTTGCCTGTCAAAATGAACCCTGATTTCCAAGCAGCAATAGAAAGGGCATAGGGAAATGATTCTAATTCAGATATTTCCCATTGTCTCGCAATTTGCATTCCCCTCCACTTGGTAAATGGTTTAATGAAATCAATTACCAGTTCCCTCCACCAGCAGCCACTTTGCTCTGTGGGAAAATGAAATTAGTGCGCCTCAAGGAGTCGAAGGAGACGATGAAAATGCAGAAGGAAAATCGAGTGAAAGAGAAACCGTTTACTTGTAGCAGACGACAAATTGTTGAGGACCGTTCTGCAAGGTTTTCTATGTTTCCATTGCTTTTTATTGAGTTTTTATTGCATTCGCCTTGTGTTTTTGCTTTTCTTATGGCCAAATTGAATTGGAGAAAATATTTGTGGTGGCTGACTTTGATTTAATATACCAAAGGCCATGTCTATGGATATGTGTTTGGACTGGTATTGATGTGTGTGCTCTGCTAAGCGGAAAGTAATTGAGTTTTCACAAGCTGTCTTTTATGGCCGTGTTCCCAAATTCTGTATTTTTTCTATGCCGGATATTTTTCAGTACACTTAATTTAATTTTTTCCAGGAAGTGGAGTGGATGATTGAGTTTTTTTAATACCGAAAATAATAAGGAAGTTCAATAAATTTTTTATATTTCTACGAGTGTAGAAATGTCTTTCCTGAAACTCTCTGGACTAGTTAGATTTTCACATACTTTCAGCCAATATATTTTTTATTAAAGTTCTAGTCATATCCTGCCCATTGCTTGGACATATTCAAAGATGTTAAATTGTCTATTTTTTAGCGGGCTCAAGGCATGCCGGACTGCACATCATCGTCTTCGTTGTGGCCGTACACTTAGAAAAGCCCTTGGCCGTGGCGGGTTGTGCCTTTGCTTCCGGTTTCGGTGCACACTCGTTTTTACCAGAACAACAAAGGTCGCACTGACAACGCGGCTCTTGGTAGCCAGTCTCGGGTGAACAGGGCGGACAATCGCAGGTCTTTATCGTGTCCGAGGTACAACAGGTGGGAGGCGTTGGACCCACATAGAACGGATTGAAGCGGCAGACCATTTCGAGGGGCCGGAAAGTCCAAGCAAATCAGGCAGATACAAAAATTTTGAAACTTATAATTTAGATGTTTTTTGTGATATGTCTCATTGAAGGACTTGGGGATGACATTTTTATCCAGGAAATATTCAATTGCCAGAGCTTAGGCCTATCCGGAGGAAATTCTAATTATATACTTGGCAAAACAGCCAAATTACCTTCCAAATGAGGGGCCAAAGCCAGACAAACAAATTCCGTTTGTTGGCAAATATTTGTACATTCTTTTTGCAGCTTATAAAGCCGCTGGCATAGAGAGCTTAAAGCTGATTACACAGTTTACTCAACAAATGCGGAAAATACATAACACACAACAGCAACAAAGGCGGAGAAAAACCGCACAAAAATAAACATTTAATGGCGAAACAGGCGTAAAAAATCGGAGGACCAACTGGTTCAAGTCGGTAAGCGGGAAAATAAAATAAAAACTGTACCAAAATAAGAAAGCAATAAAGCAAGGACTTAAGCCGCAATGCCACAAGGACGGGGCCAAGGCGGAAGGAGAGGCGCAGACGGAGAAGGATATAATCGTACAGAAGGAGGAGGGTAACACATGCTCATACGCGTCGAAAGTTTTCAATTTATACGACTTCATTAGAAGCAACGCTTGATGAGCAATAATGATAAAAGAAAAGGCTGAACGGGAAGTGAAAGAAACGGGAAAGAGGAAGACGAAGCAAGGGTGTAAGCGAAGAGCAGCCGGAAAGAAAGTACACTAGTACTGTGCAGAGTGTGTCCCTAGAAAAATACCACAAAAAAGAAACATTATGACACTTACTAAAAAGGTCTCTAAGAGACAGAAATAGCTATGTAAAAACAGCCAGCCATTATAGGTTTAAATGCAAATGATTTATGTTTCAAAAGCTTATTAGATTTTCAGATTTTATGTTCTAAGCTTATGTTATAGGCCGAGTTCCAGTATAATTTAGCTGTTATTCTTAAATGACACTAATATAATAATTCTACTATTTTATTTTTATTTTTTTGTGGTAAATGATTCATCAAACAATTCCTTATTTCTTGTTTTAAAAATTCTAGTATCTGTGATTTGTTTTTCCAGTCGTTTTTAAGCAAGCGTCATACCAGTATCAAAGGAGGAGTACACTCCGCCAAGGAGGTGAAACAGCTGGAAAATTACTCCACTCACGCACGGACACAGATAACCATTTATGAATGGGTGTCTGTCGCTCAAGTGGCCTAATGTGAGAGGGCGAAGGGAAGAGGTCCGAGACAGAGAGGGAGAGAGAGAAGGATGGATATCTGTTGGGTGTAATGAAAGTTTAAATCGTTTCTTTCCCCCTCGAATACCAACGCAGTGGTCGAGAGACGGGTGGCAAGGGCTGAGTGTCATGCGGAATGAGGTTTACTTCCCCTTTGGTAGTTGGCAAATAAATTCCATTTTCATATGCATAATTCTGGGGCATTGTCCTACACTTTTTTGGCGTAATAAAGTTTATCATAATATTTTGGGGTTTTCCTTTTCCTATGTTGCGGTCTTTTTCTGCTTGTGTGAATGGAATGCATAAACAGGAGACAACTTATTGTTATGGTAAATGCCACATTTTTGACAACGAAATATGAGCTTTTTCTGGTGTACAATGGGGAAAAAAGGGCATTAGGGTGAGATAAATCATTCATTTTTTGTTAGAATTAGAGTTGGTATCATTAATAAGGCAAGTGTGGGTCATAGAAAGTATGAAAGAACTATGAGGAGTGAGCTAACATTAGCTGTAATGGTATTATAATATAAGCTATATTGGAGTGCAAATCCTTCATACCAAAAACAATATTAGAGTTGTAACTTTTCAGCTCAGACCCTGAAGCCACTTTCAAAAGTTACCCTGAAGAAATCGTGTACCATATAAATGTATGGGCGTTACTTAACACAAATTATAATTATAAACAGTGCCAGTTTTAAAGCTTTAAGAACTAAAGAGCTATTCTTAACTCTATTTACTATTTACTCTATGTTCCATCATCTCGAAATATATTAAAGCCTACAACACATGTAAGCAACAGAAACCCCATTAATTAGAGACCATTTAATCACACCTATCGTGGTGGTGCGTACAAGTTCATTAAACGATTGAATAACTAATTTCCCTTTGTCCACCCAATAGTCATTATAGACCCGAATACAAATTCTAACATTCTGTTCAAGTGTGGCATAAACAGGTCCCTAAGCACGTGCCCTGAACTGCGCCTAAGAGCTAAATGAAATGGCATTCACTCTATTTAAATCAATACTGAGTAAATGAGTTGAACGCTTTTTAATCACATAATTACAGGGAAACCAACCAAAGAGAGAGAGAGAGAGCTGTGGGACATGACGCACGGCACAGGACACAGGACAGAGGACATGCAAATGAGAATTCCTCACTCGGTTGCGATTGCAATCTTCACGCATTGCCAGGGCGCACTGGGAGAATAATAAATATGAATTGGAATTAATTCGTTTTGGCAAGAGCATAGGCAAGGACAAGTGTAATTACGCAAACACACGGACATCGGACATCGGACGCCGGACAGCCACACATTCAGGACATTCGGTCCTGGCAATGGCGTTCTGGCCACGTTGGCTCGTTGGCCCTTAATGTTTTATGCACAACTAAATACAAATGCGCTTTAATGAGCAAAACTCGGACCGACCATGCGGTTAATTTATTATGCACAACTCGGTTTCGCTCACACATGGCCTATCCCCGGCCATGTGGAGGCGGATGGTTTCGGTAAAGGATCACTAATAATGCGGCATTGTCGAGGCATTAAATTGCCAATGCGTCGTCGTCTGGTGGGGCGGGGCGGGGCGGTGCGGTAAGGGGCCTATGGATACGAGTAAACCGCAGCAAGTCGACTTGAATGCATGTAACAATTACTCTCGCTTCCTCTCTCTCTCTTTCGCACTCGGCTGACAGGAGCTCTGTTCTCGCCACACTGCAGCAGAGTCATAAAATGCAGACAGCAAAAAAAAACTAACAGAAAAACTGATATTTGCAACAGCAACGACAACTACAACGACAATAACCACATGGCATAGTTTTTGGGGCATGAAGCATGTGGTATGTGGCATGTGGACTTAACCGCAAAACAAGGCCAAGCCGGAACCCATGCGGAGCATTCGAGTGCGATTTTAGGAACTAGTTCAATCGTTCATGTGCACTCGAAACTTTCGCAGGACTGCTGCAGCAGCAGAGGTCGTGATGCATGCATGAATGAGGCCTCCCACGGAAATCCGATTAAAGTTTTTAACAATCGTTATTGATAGGATCATAGCAGGCACATGTACCTGAAGCCCGTGGGAAATATTTCAAATATTTACAAATTTACAAATGTTTGATTTGAGGTTAATAATTTTCATCATTTGATGATAATTACACTCAGCACTAAAACAACGAAATCGCAAAACAAATTTGTTACTTTTCGGGTAAATATTTAGACATGGGATACCCGGGTTGCGATTACCACATGTTTTGTGAGTTTTCATCAACGACATGGAATGGCCTCACAACTGCCTTAGACGGAAATTTGCAGGTGATATTTTTGTATATGCTCGGAGTCGGTTTCATGGAGCTAGTGAGTAAATGATTGAGCTGATTCAGACAGTGAATAAGGGCGTTTGCCCTATCGTTTTCAGATATACAACTATAAGCAGATTTACCTTTTGTTAACCATGGAGGATATTTCAGAGGTCTCCTGGCCCCAGACAAATTGGTTTACCCTAAGCGACAAGATGCTGCATCACTGCTGGATCGCTAGCAGCTTGGCAATGGTCGCTTTGTGGAATTATCTACTATATGCCTTTCTTTGGGTGAGTACTGAATATCACATTTGCCAAACCTTGGCACCACACCGTTTTTTTGTTTTGTTTTCTTCTGCAGGTCAAGCCGGAGCTCCTCTATCGATGGCAGGTAATGTACGGAACCACGATTATAGCCGATGTCCTGTGCTTGGCCCGTGCTCGCTGGGCGATCCGCTTTGGCGTTTGGATCGCCTATTTGCTGCCCCTCTGGCATATCTTCTGTGTGAACAGCTTGCGGACTTACACAGAGCAGCAGGCCATCAATAACGACAGCACTTACTTCTACACAAGACTGTTCCACATTCCATCATTCCTATTGCAGTTGGTTCGCTGATTCCCGCTTTTCGATGGCTCCATTCTCCAAATTCCAACTTTCTTTGATTTTGTTAAACACCCTTTGGAAAAGTACAGAAATCAAATTGTTCAGTTTGCGTTTAAACTAAAGCTGTAGACCAAAATGGTTGCATGGTCTGTTTCCTCGTTGCACGGCCAGTTATTCGGCGGCATTCTTCAAGCCTCGTTGGAGATAGTCCAAAAAAACATATACTCGTATATATATGTGGGGCATTTACATGAGTGCCTGCTGTGTGGGTGTTTTGCGTGTAAGCGCTGACTAAGCCAACTCATGCAAGTTGGGTTTCTGTGAATGGATTTACGTGGAAGGTACATGGAAGGACAACACCACATGTGCAGCTGCAACAACTTGTGTGGCCAACGTGTTGAAACTAAAAGGATTTTAAAAGCCACCAAAAGTGACGGGAAAGTTGATCTACACCAATGAGATGGGGCTATATCCGGACTACGTTATGCACCAGGGAAGACTTCCAAACAACATCAATCGTGGGTCTATCTTTTGTAGTCTAAACCTGAGCCTCTATTAAAACTACCTTCAAAGTCTTAATTCATTCATAATTTCCCTATCCTTTGTTTCGCTATGATTCTTGGTGAAGTGATTCCCCCTCATCATCCCCTTCCCAACATTGCGTGTACCCTATCTAACCACAAACTTGTTCTATTCTTATGAATGCCAAGCACTCTCTAATTTCAATTTAATTTCATGGTTTTCTCATACAGGCTCTCCTAGTTTTATCGCTAGTTTTACATTCATCAAGAAATCAGATATTTTCAAAAAGAAAGCATATTTTGCGTGCGGGGCTGACGCAAACACACATACTTGTAGTCACTTCATTACTGGGAGACCAAAATCCAACGAACATGGGAAATTGTGAAAATTCAACAAGCCACGTGTAATGTAATCCCTTATCTTGGCTTGGCTAACAAAGTGGAAGCAAAATCCGCCATGACAACAGGCAAAATCCTTTCAACTATTCGACGAAAGGTAAAGAGGAAACCGCACACCGCCACCACAGTGTTCCACCATTCTTCTTCAACTACTCATCCACCATTAAACCCCCACTCCTTTAAAGCCGAACACTTTATGGCTCATTATTTTCAATGCAAGTTCGGTTCGGCTGGGGTTTGGTGCCGTTCCACTTAGTTCGGTACTTCCTTCTTCACAGCGCTCGTTAGCTCATTTGCAGCTCATGTAACTTTTCATTAGAAAAAAAATGAATTTAAAATGAATATTTAAACCTTGTGCATAATGCACATGGACGGCCATTAACGCTAATGACGTCATGAAATTCAATGCACACCACACTGCAGAGGCACAGGACCAGGACGAGAGCCATGAGATGAGCTCACAGCTTTTTTGCCACAAAATGGGGCAACATAATGTTGGCCTCAACTTACCCTCGCTTAGTATGGAAACATTTGCTCGGCCTTTTCATCTCTCCACCGGCCAGATATTGGAAACTTTCGAACAAAGCCCATCTATTATAATCAACGCCCTTTTCGAGGGTAGCAACAAAAAACTTGAGGCGTGCTATTGCTTATGGAGGGACATGATTTGAGGCAAGAAACATGCGAAATAGTAGAGCAGAAAGAACAGACAACAACAAGAAGAAAATGTGCGTGTGAGCATGTCGCAATAGCGTGCATCTAGGGGAGACTCTCACTAAGGATCGGCCAAAAAGGCCTGTGCTACCTTTATAATGGTTTTACCATCTAGAATACTTACTTAGACTTATACTTATCTCTCTTTATCTTCGACACATAGCTTTGTTCGCCAAGTGCCCCTACAGTGTCTTCTTAAAGTGTCCAATAATAGTACAAGTATTCCGTTCTTGTGCTTCATTATACTTTCTCCTCTACACGGTATACCACAGACGACTACACTCAACTCTAAGCTCTCTAGCACATTTCCTTCCGGGCAAATGTGCGCGTGAGTGTTCCTATCTCATTTCTGGTTCGTTGCACGTCAACATTATCTGATTCTCCGCAATTTGCCAGTTTTTGACCAGCGCAGCATATGATTTTAATGACATCTGCCACGTGCTCTCAAAGCCAACTTTTAGCTGAAACAATCTCAAAGGTTAAGAGCCGAAAAAAGGAGAGGAACAACTTTTGTAGGAAAATATGGGTAAAGGAATATTGGTAAAGGGATTCCGGACTGTTTCCATTATTGGGCCATAACAAAAGCTAGTGCCTGCCCGGGAGGGAAATATTTTTTCCGTTTTTGTAGTTCACGTACGAGAGGCTGAGCGATAGATAGGGGCGGAAGCAGGGAGAGAATTGTTGACAGTGCCAGAATGACTGTTGACCCGGCTTGGCACGATTTCCTTTCCATATACCGTGTTTGTATGCCAACTGCTTATGTTTTATTTACAGACATTTGCAGAGAGACAACATCCCAAGTCCTTCCAGCTTTGTGTTGTTTTGGCAAAACGTTTTACGAGCCAGAAATATAGAATAAAATCAATTGTTCGATAGAGACATACATATGTGTGTATACAAGACCGGTAAAAAATTATAAAACGATTTGATCAATATTTGTTATAAATGCACTTAAATCTAGGGGGAGTGAGGCAGAATTATTATTTTCAAACTTTCCAAAAACAAATTACGAGTTGCTAAAACTGCAATATAATTCTCACTTTCGCTATCATGAAAATCACTTTTACGTTGCCTTATCCTGGTCAATTTTCCTTGGGGCCATTCCTTTTCGTTTCCTTTCCACAAAAGCTATTTAGGAACTGCCATAAACTTATCCGGGAGCTTGCAAAATATAATTAAACAAGCGCAAATTGAAATACGCAGCGTGCAGTGAGCCAAATATTATCAAAAATAGTCCCAAAAAATATACACAACAACTTACGCTGCAAACTTTGTGCTGCGAAAATATTAAGTGCCTTGTGGAGGAGAATATCCCGCGTCTTGGGCTCCGCTCCGCCACTCGAGCGGCGAAAGGAAGCTGCAACAACTTCCATTCTTTTCGGGCTACTTACTGGGTTTAACTGGTAATTGCAGTTTTTTGGGGGGCCACGGCGAAAATTGAACGAATGGAGGGCCAACATAATGGCCTCTGACCCTGGTGCACAACTCAATTTTATTTTGGCGGATATTTCCTGGCACAATTCAGTTATTAAGGTTAAGAGGAGAACCAATGAACAGGAAGTTTCTTTGAGAACTCTTGCTATATCGAATAATACTTAAAAGTAAACAAAGTTTCAGAAGAATCTTTAAGAAATGCATTCGTGACCAATGAACATTTCCTTAGAGATATATTCAGATCAAGGAGGTGGTATTTGAGAGCTTTCCGCCTTTGGGAGCTTCTTTAGACCTTTCCATGGAAATTCATGATCCATCTGAAGGTCGAAAAAGGTACGACTGTAACCCACACAGATTATTATCTTGTAAAAGAAAGACGTTGTAAATAACCAGTCATCCAAAAACCAACAACTCCCACAATCATTCTCTACTTATGATCTATCTATACATCAATATTTCGGAGATGTATTTCCACTACTTACCTCTACTTTACAAACATTTATCGCTTGTTTTGTATTCCTGACCTACGAAATCTATCCACTTACGAGCAATCTAGTATACAACGGAACTGCTGGACCTGGTCTGATTTTCCATTTAAATCATAAATTTTTAATAATATCAACAATCGAAACCTTTGCATCTTTCAGTAGCTTTCCAACAGAATTTGCGTTGACAACGTCATCAAGGGCACGCAGAAAAGGGCAGAGGCAGATATCCAAAAGAGCAATAACAAGAGGATAAAGGACATGGAAACGGACAACCTCATCATCATCCTCATCATCGTTGGCTGGTGCATGCGAGCAAAATAAATTGTAAATTGAAATCAATAATTTACATGGGGCTTTTCGGTAGCCAGCAATCAGAAGTCCCTCCCTGGCATTGATTGCCATATGTCATTGATGAAATGCACAATTTGCTGGTGGATTAATTTATAATAATTTCATGGGTCCAACATATGCTGGACCCATATTTTGGGGGAAAACCCTTTGGAAATAAATCAAACTGCTGGAATGCAGATGTTCTGTTTTCCCTCTATAAATAATATGGTTGAACAAATAAATGGCTAGAAGTATGAAAGCAAAGAGATAAATGTCCAACACTGCACTGCCATAACTACCCGAAAATAAAAGTGAAACAAAAATTTTGTAATAACTCAACAACAACTGCAGACAAGACTGAGATATTTTTGTTTTCATTACGGCCATAATTTGCCAATATGTTTTTCTGTAAAGGTGGAGAAAAATTTATTTTGCTTTCATTCATTAGGGATCAAGGTACGCAATTTCTTTGCCAAGCCTTATCGGCAAAGGAATTCATTTATAATTCGTATTGTAAACAAAATATGAAGAAAAAGGTGCGGGAAGAAAAACAATTCGAAAAAAATTGAATTCAAATTCATTTAAGAACATATTCGCTTGCATCTCTGTTCTGTTTCTATAGGCTTTAAAAACAAATATTTAAGAAAAAATATCTAACGAATAGTCTGCTTTTCCAAGCACTTGAATACCCTAACCGATCCATTGTTCTTACTTTTCTTAGCCGATTATAAAATAGGATTTTAGTAAAAGATACTCTGACATGTTTCAGTAAAATATATATATAAAATAATATTTGTAGCTATCCCAAGAGATCCGATATGCTGCCTTGCCTGCCCTGCAAACATCTAGGCAAAATATAATACACTCTGCAAGTTTATAACGAGCTTGATTCAATTTATCAACATTTTATTTCGAGCAAACTGTAATCCCATTCTTTGAGCTCAATTTATATCGTTCTACCTCCTCTCCGGCTCGGTCCAGTAAGCAACTTTTTGCAACTTTAAGCCGAAAAGTATTTGCCGCATGCAGCACAGCCCAAAGAATGCAACATAAATGGAAACTTTTGGAAAACCTCAAGGCAGGCCGCCATGGACACCATAACCATGTGGGGACCGTGTTCGACGTGTTGGCCCTTAAATCGAGCCACTCCGTATGTGGGGAAAAAAAAGCACTGCAGAAAAGGGAAATGCGAGAAAATCCACAGCAACGGCACTGCCA